ATTTCATCCTGGACACTACAGAAAATGGGCTTAAAGTGTAAAAAACCGAACTTCTCCTTTAAAGGGGAATAACTTTTTTTTTTTTTCTTTCACATTGGCCCCATGATTTTACGTTATTACATCATGTTCTAGTCACCCATATTATTTTGTTTCATTTGGAGCCTTTCTGAAGATATTCCTTTAGGTTATATATAAGTATCATCTTCCTTTGGGCAACGAGTTGAAGGCACAAACTAAACTGTTCATAATTTATGGTACGCCAGCATTCATAACATGTAGGTGAATCACTGTCCCCCAGACATCTGTGGTTATATTTTTATTTATATTTTTTAAAACAAAGCAGAGTGTGTATGACATCATCCACGCGCCAGACTGGAGTTGTGACAGGCAGCCCGGGTCACCGGCTACGCTCTACCCCTTATATTCATTCTAGCTAATCTGAATCGTTCAATTCCATTTGGAGAGCGAGCTCATCTGTGGTAGCAGCACTAGACATCTTCCAGGCATGTGAGGAAAACTAGCAGCAGTTCAGCGAACAGGATGAATGAATGGTAGCTGGCGCACGCTGATGTCATACACACTCCGCTTTGTTTTAAAAAATATATAAATATAAAATATATAACCGGGGATGTCAGAGGGACAGTGATTCAGATTATTATTATTTTTTTTATATATGGCTCTTTGAGGAGTTTGGGTTTCAAACCCCTGACTTAACCAAAGGTTTGTCCACCTGGGATTTAATCAGTTTTAAATGTGTCATTTAAAGCAGTTTTAGCTCCAACCTGTGTCAGCAACGTTCCTCATCGTGTGCTTAAAGGCCCAGATGATGGAGTCCAGGATCAGTTTAAACTGGGCAGGTGCGATGGCCAGAAAGGCTGGGAAGCACTGGGAGGTGGCAGCTTGAAGCAGGTAGAAAAAATGGGTTCGGTGCTCTGGGAACTCTTCAAAGTCCTAATAGAACAGAGGAATTGTAACAAACTGGGATCAGCATCTCTTCTATTCATACGTTGCTCAGATTATTTCACACACCGCCATACAGACCTTGTTGATCATGTTTAAAGTGCACTCGAAGACGGCATCGAAGATCTTTGGGATCTCGCCTGTAATGTGGACTCCCAGTTTGTTGACGATGGTTGCCATGGTGCTGAGGACCTCTGGCTCTCTTGCAGCAGGGACATTCCTCTGGTAATCAATGAGCACTGCCTCCAGCAGGGGGGGCACAAAGTTCTCTGCCACCTGAAACCACAGATTGTTTTTCTTCAGAACACATTTCTCTATCATCAGTCTATGAAACTGATATTTAAGGGGAAAAAAAGGCCAACTTTATTGTCCCATATTCCATTATGAGCAATTAATTGGGTTATTTTGGCAGCAATTTGGATTAATCTAAACTACTTTGCTTTACAGAAAACACTAATATTTACTGTAATCGGCTAACACAGATTACAATAAACCCTTAATATTTACCCATAATTCATCTTTCTGTTCTTTTTTTTAATAGTTATTTTAATAAATGCACATCAGCCCTAGTTTGAAAGAATCTCAGGCACTGTTTCTCAATATGTGTACTCGTGTGCTCGTGAAACATCATCATCCTCAGCCCTAGTACTGTTCCAATTCACAAGAACAGCAGACCCAGAACGGACAAAGTCCCCGGATGTTGTTCTCGCCACACTCTATTTACCCATCATGCATCGTGCAGACTTATTAATAACAGGAGGTGAAATGCAGCTCAAGACAGAAGTAGATTTCTTACTAGCAACTGAATCTATCCATTATTCATCTACGTTGCAAAGAAACAGCTGATTCATCATGAAGAAAACCAAAAAGGCTTACAAAATGAAAATAAATAAACTGCTTTGTTTTCTTAAAAATCACCAAATGTTATGGACAACATTCAAGACAAAAGACAGCGACAAAAAATAAAGAACTAGATAAAGTAGATGGGACAAAGGAAAAATTTCTACTATTTGTTTCAATCGTTGCACGCAGCTACAGCTAAAACTGTACGATGAAACCGCAGTGTTTAAAAGTTCACAGCTCACGGTGGATGTTCTCACACTGTGCGGCCCAATACTCTGATGATCTACCTGCTCACACTGTACCTCTAAAAATCATGTCAGACTCAGCTCCGCAGTGAGATGGCTACTCAGACTCGTCTATCCAGAAGCCAAACGAGTAGAAGAGGAACATGAAGCTCACTAGAGTGAAACGCTCTGCCTTGGAAATTTGTGCAATTTTGTGCTGAAAACCCTTAAAGGGA